AGAAATCCCTTTGCTCCTCTCAGTCCAAATCTTCCTCCTGGGACGGTTCCCTCTGGTGGGTGGGGTGCCCTGCGTCCCCCTGGGGGTCCGGCTGGGGGCGGAGACCTGGGAGTCAGAACCTGTGCTCCCTGTTCAGCCGGGGACTGAGCCTCGGGTCAGCTTCCTCCTCTGTAGCCCAAGGACCCTGCCTCTCAGGTTGCAGGAGAGGAACATGTGATGTGCTCACAGCCCAGCCACAGCGGAGTGCTCACGAGAGAGGCCTGTATGCCTTGCGCCATCATAGAACGTGTTTCTAGCAACACTAGTGCCAGCCCGGCTAACCACTAAGTTTGAGAGCACCCGGTAGATCCATCTGGCTGTTCGAGCCCCAATAGCCACTCTCAGGGTCTCAGCTCCATCTAGTGTTGGAATCAGGGCACAGTCACACACAGGGTGGGGCCAGAGTAGGTTTACCGTTGTTTGTATGGGAAATAATACGATAATAAACAAGAGTAAACTGTTTCACACTCACAACTGTAAACTACCCAGGCTTATGGCAAACCCTGAATTCCATACTTGTCAAAGGGACAGCTCTCTTTAGGCAAACGGGACCAAAAAAAAAAAAAGATCAATTTAAGACACTCCTCCCGCCACAGCCAGTTTGGCTCAGTGGATAGAGCATCAACCTGCGGTCCAAAGGGTCCCGGGTTTGATTCTGGTCAAGGGTGTGTACCTTTGCTGCAGGCTCCTCCCCGGCTTGGGCCCTGGTCCGTGCTCGTTCAAGAGTCAATTAACGATGTGAGAGAAACACATCGATATCTGTCTCTTCTATTCTCTCTAAAAAAAAAAAAAATCAATGGAAAAATATCCTCGGTAAGGATTAACTAACAAACCAATGAAATAAATAAATACCACCACCGCTAAGATTTGGTATTTCAAAGCAAGTAGTATACAAATTTAGTATTTCTAAAGGACATATTCAAGTAACAAATAATCTGTACTAATAAAAGGGTCATATGCTAATTAGACCGAGAGACCTTCCAGGAGACTTTCCGGATGTCCATGGTGATGGGGCTGAGGCAGAGGCAGTTAGGGGCAATCAGGCCAGGAGGGGAGGGCAATTGGAGGCGATCAGGCCGCAGGAGGGGGGGACAGTTGGGGGCAAGCAGGTCGGCAGGGGGTGGAAGTTGGGGGCAATCAGGCTGGTAAGGGGAACAGTTGGGGACGATCAGGCTGTCAGAGAGGAGCAATTGGGGGCAAGTAGGCTGATAAATAGAATGGTTAGGGGCAATTAGGTAGGCAGACAGGTGAGTGGTTAGGAGCCAGCGGTCCCAGATTGCAAGAGTAATGTCCCAAATTGGAGAGGGTGCAGGCCGGGCTGAGGGAATTTCATGCACTGGGCCACTAGTCCTTCCTAGCTAATAAAAGAGTAATATGCAAATTGACCATATCTCCATTAAAGTCACAAGCCATGCCCACCAGCCAATCAGAGTGAGTATGCAAATTAACCCAACCAAGAAGGCTGAGGCCACGGAATGAGCAGGAGGCTTGAGTTTCCCCAGCAATGGAGGAAGCCAAGCTTCCTGCACATCCTGGCCAGCCCTGGACTCCACTCCAGGTTAGAAAGTTTCAATTATAGAAGATAAATAAATCCCAACCAAAATGGAGGCAGTCATGGAACTGGAAAGAGCAGGAGGCTTGGGTTTCCCCAGCAATAGATGAAGCCAAGCTTTCTGCTTGCCCTGATTTTCCCTGGCCTCTGCTCAAGGCTTCAAAGTTTCAATTATAGAAGATAAATAAATCCCAGATACCAGGGCCTTTGCTTGGATCACTGGGGGGCGTGGCCAGCCTGTAAACCACCACAGGGCCCTCGCTCAGGCTGCCCCACACCCCAAGGGAACCACTACCCTGATCTGGGACACCTTTCAGGGAAAACCAACTGGTCTCCACCCATGCACCAGGCCTCTATCTTATCTAATAAAAGAGTAATATGCAAATTGACCATCACTCCAATACACAAGATGGCTGGCCCCAAGTGGACACAAGATGGCCACCACAAGATGGCCAGCAGGAGAGGACAGTTGGGAGGGACCAGGTCTGCAAGGGAGGATAGTTGGGGGGATCAAGCCTGCAGGGGAGGGCAGTTAGGGTTGACCAGGTCTGCAGGGGAGGGCAATTAGGGGCAATCAGGCTGGCAGGGGAGCAGTTAGGCATCAATCAGGCTTGCAGGGGAGTGGTTAGGGGGTGATCAGGCTGGCAGACAGAAGTGGTTAGGGGCAATCAGGAAGGCAGGTAGGCGAGCACTTGGGAGCCGGCAGTCCTGGATTATGAGAGGGATGTCCAACTGCCCGTTTGGCCCGATCCCATGGGCAGATCCTAAACGGGCAGTCAGACATCCCTTGAGGGGTCCTATATTGGAGAGGGTGCAGGCTGGGCTGAGGGACACCCCCTACCCCCGCCATGCATGAATTTCATGTACTGGGTCTCTAGTACTTATAATAATTGATCCTGGGAATTTCTGAAAGTGAGGAGAGAATGAGGGCCCCGAGGGGTGGTCTGGAGTGCCCCTGGGTGTCAGGGGAGGACCGTGCCAGTGGACAGCGTGAGGCTGTCTCTCTCCACAGGGCTTCCAACAGGAAAAGGCCAGGAAGGGTGTCATGGAGGCCACTGACCCAGTGCACTGGCCTGGGAAGGAAGGGATGCCAGCAGAGAATGGGTAGCTGGAGAGGAAGGGACGGGGATTGAATCCTCAGTGTGTGTGTGTGTGTGTATGTGTGTCAAAGAACAGGGTCTGTGTGGATCAAAGTATAGATGATGGCTCAGGAAGTTAGGTCAGAGATGGGGTTTCTTTTTCTTCTTTTTAAAAAATATATTTTATTGATTTTTTTTTACAGAGAGGGAAAGGGATAGAGAGCCAGAAACATTGATGAGAGAGAAACATCCATCAGCTGCCTCCTACACCCCCCCCCCCCCACTGGGGATGTGCCCGCAACCAAAATACATGCCCTTGACCAGAATCAAACCTGGGATCCTTCAGTCCGCAGGCCGACGCTCTATCCACTGAGCCAAACCAGTCAGGGCCAGAGATGGGATTTCTGGATAAGATTTCAGCAGTCACCTTTGTGACAAGCTGTGGGCGTGGCTGAGAAGGAGGCCTCTCAGACTGTGGGTAGGCCAGGCCTGTGAGCCCTGTGGGGACACGGGGAATAGGGAGAGAAGGGGGTAAAAACAAAGCCCAAGACCTGGGGGAGGTGGGGACAGGACTAAAGGCCAGTCCATGAAGAGGAACACTGAAGGAAGGTGCATCCCTGGTTGAACCTCCACAGGGGACCAGTTTTATTTTATTAAAAATACTAGCCGAAGCCGGTTTGGCTCAGTGGTAGAGCATCAGTCTGCGGACTGAAAGGTCCCGGGTTCGATTCTGGTCAAGGGCATGTACGTTGGTTGCAGGCACATCCCCAGTAGAGGGTGTGCAAGAGGCAGCTGGTCGATGTTTCTCTCTCATTGATGTTTCTAGCTTTTCTCTCCCTTCCTCTCTGTAAAAAATCAATAAAATATATTTTAAAAAAATACTAGAGGCTCAGTGCATGAATTCGTGCACCAGTGGGGTTCCTTGGCTTGGCCTGTGGGATTGGGCTGAAAACACCTCTCCAACATCCCTCAAGGGGTCCCAGATGGTGAGAGGGTGCAGGCCAGGCCAAGGGACCCCACCAGTGCACGGTCGGGGCTGGTGAAGGACATAGGGAGGGCTCCAGGGTGTGTCCAGCCCATCTCACTCAGTCCTGAACAGCCAGATCCCAGCAGCAATCTAACCTACCAGTTGGAGCGTCTACCCTCTGGTGGTTAGTCCACGTCATAGAGACTGGTTGACTGCCACAGTGAGCATATCATTAGCATATTACTCTTTGATTGGTTGAACGATGACTGGACGACTGGACACTTAGCATATCAGGCTTTTATTATATAGGATATGTTTATTGATTTCAGAGAAGGGAGAGGGAGAGAGAGAAGCATCGACGATGTGAGAGAATCATTGATCAGCTGCCTCCTGCATATCCACAATGGGGATCGAGCCTGTAACCTGGACATGTGCCTTGACCAGGATTTGAATCATGACCTCCTGGTTCATAGGTTGACGGTCAACCACTGGGCCAAGCTGCCAAGGGGAGAGGGGGTTAGATGAGGGCAGGACTGGGTTCAGAAGGGGTGCTGGCAGAGGGAGGTGGGACACTGAGGCGCTGTCACGAGCCTCAGTCCTGATACTCACAGCTTCCAAGGAACCACGGGCCCTACTTCTCCCGGAGCTTCTCTCAGGAGGGGACGCAGAACAAGCAGGTCCGTGCAGGACCTGTCAATCAAACCAAGGACCACAGGACCACAAATTCCTAACTGCAGGCTGCGCTGCACCGGAGGTGGCAAGGATGAAGGCTTCCCCAACCCCATCACGTTCAAGGCTGAAGAACACGCCAAGTGCAGGTACAACCTCATTGTGCTTTTAATTACGAAAGATGTAAAATGATGCATTATAAAACTCGGAAGCTACTTTATACAAAGTCCGATCTTTAAATATTGTTTGACAGGGGACCTGGGAGTTAGGACACTGGCGGGGAGGAGTCTTGATTCCTGCTGGGATGGTTCCGTCATGAGCGATGAACACGTGCTCAGAACCATCTGCGCATCAATCAGAAGAGCCGAAGAGAGTCAGAACCGGAAATGTCTTCAGATATGCAAATGGGCGGGAATACACAACAAACAGTTCAGCTCAGGGGATATACAGTAGACTTGGGAGGAAGGAAACAGGACAGAGGAGAATTCGTGTTCATCTTGACATGATCAAGAAAATGTTCTCCGAACACTTTTATGTCCTAAAAACCACAACCGTACAGAGAGGAAAGATGGAAAGTGATAGCACAGGCATCGATTTCTTGGAACAAAACTAAATATTGAAAAATATTTAGAATGCAGCCCTGTCGGAGGCCGAGGATCGCGCCTGGCTTGTCTTAAAGGCACAGTGAGGGCACTTACCCGCTGAAGGTCAGTGACCACCTGCCGTGGTTGTCCTTGCCACCATCTAAGCAAAGGGGGGTGTATAATGCCCAAAACCTTTCCACAAGAAAAGATCGGACTGATGGACCTAAGGACAAATTCAATTCAGTGCTGAGCCTTATTGTCATGATTATACTCCCCCCAAACAGCCGCTTCTCCCAGAAGCCCCTGGGGCAGCGCACGTCATCACGTAGGTCTCGGGGTCCCCAGCTGTAAGGCGGGGCTGCCTCGTGGACAGAGAGAGCTGGGACCCCGACACTGATGACCCCCGTGGGTAAGGCACTGTGTAAAGAGGGAATTATGCTGGGACCCCCACTCTTAATAAAAACCTCTTGTGACATCAGAACCGTTCTGTCTGAAAGGCCAGACCAGGTGTTGGGGGCTTGGGCACAGGGAAGGCAGCCAGGAGCTGGCTTCTCTGGGCATCTGGGGTGTTGGGCGCCCTCACGAGGAAAGGCCCTTTGCTTTACCAGCCACTCCCCAGGCCCCTCTCAGATCTTTTCAGGGATCTGGGCATTCAACTGGGAATAAAGCTGGGGAGGGGAGGGCCACTGCTCCTTCCTGAGCTAGCCCTCAGCAAGGACTCTGGTGTGAACTCCTAATTCAACAGGAACTGGGGGCTGGTGTGAAGCGGGCTGACTTGGGTTCACAGGGAAGAGGAGGTGCTCACCCCCAGGGCTGCTGGAAAGGCCGGAGGGCAGAGGTCAGTGACCGGGACCCTGGGACAGGCCCCTCCTGCCGGGAGTCACAGAGTGCGCCACCCTGCAGACACAGCCGCACTTGGGGCTGGAGCAGCCTCGTGACCGTCAGGGAGGGCACGCCTGGCATTTCTGGACGGGCAATGACTGTTTAGGCAAAGGTCCGGCATCTCTCACCTCTCCTTCAGTGCTCGTCCTCTCTGCCTGGTCTCCCTGCCCAGATTCTGCCCAGACTCCTCCCCAGGGGCGCTCAGGAGGCTCTGTCCCCTCTGCTGCCTTCAAACCCAGCCGCCAGGTTTCTGGTTGGGCCGGCCCAGCCTAAGTGAGCAGAATCTGGGAACCTGGGAATACTTTTATGCTCAGGTACCAATGACTAACGATGGTTTGATGAAATGGACCTTCCTTTTACTACCGAAGTCCTTCGACTCCCAAGACTGAAGCTCAATTTTAAAGCAATTCAGAGCCAATCATGGATCTGAGTGGGAAGGACTTCTGAGGGGAGGCCTGCCGGACCCCAGGGGCCCAGCACTGGGCGGCCTCAGCTCGCCTGGCCACGTGGGTGCGCTCAGAAGACGCTCTGCACCTACCTGCTCGGAGCTCAGCCTTGAGGACGGGCCCCGTCTAACGGTGGGTCTGCTCGCCTAGTGTTAAAAGCATATTAAAGTGCACGCGTGACTCAACCACAGGCACAAGTGTCCGAAAAGCGAAAGCTCTGAGAAGATTTGGCGAGGAACAGGGACAGGAGAGATTAGACTGCCTGACAGCAGGCAGATGCATTCATTCCTGCAGTCACTCATTCATTCATTCACTCGCTCACACAATCAGTTACACAGCACCTGTTCAGTGCCAGGCACTTGTGGGTACTGAGGGTTCATGGTGACTAAGGCACAGTCCCTGCTGCCCCCAGGGAGCGGAGGGTCCAGTGGGGTTACTGGAATATTCCCAGTCCACAGACAAGAGCTTCACTCTGCTGCTGCTCAGCTGCCGGCTGCGCCTGCGCCAGACCTCGGCCGCCCCCTCCAGGTGGTGTGTGCACAGAGGCCTGCACCCCGGGAGCTGGTCCAGAGCTTGACCAAAGGAGGTCACGTGTCTGAGAGACACCTGCAGGCCCCCTTCTTTCTTCTGGTCCCCAAGAAGCATTGCTCCTTCGTTCAGGCAATCACCACCAGGGACATTTCCTTCAGTGACGTCTTCCTTTTCCTCTCGTCCGCAGGAAAAGGCTAACTGAAGCAGCAGAAAGGAGATTGTACGTGGGAAGGAAACAATAACTGACAGTCAGCTTGCTCAACTCAAGTCTGCTCTTGGACTCATGGTGCAAATTCTTCTTCATATTAGAATTAAGGCATCTGAGAGCTGTGGCTCTTGATTCTGCCCTGAACAGCCCTGTCGCCAGCAGGCAGGGGCCTGGCCGGCATGGCCGGGTCAGAGAAGGCGTCTGGGGCTGTGGTACCGTCGCTCGAGCCTGAGCCAACTCTTGGGGGCCTGGGGCCCCTACCTGCCGCCGCCCCAGCCGGTCCTTCCTCAGTTCTGACATGGGTCAGTGGTCTGAGCACTGCATGGTGCTCCTGGGGCCTCCGCCTATGACTGAGGTACATGCCCTTGACCAGAATCGAACCTGGGACCCTTTGGTCTGCAGGCCGATGCTCTATCCACTGAGCCACACACGCTGACCGGCTGGGTGATGGTCACGGTGATGACCAGCTCGCTGGAAGTTCCGAATGAGCCTGCACCGCAGGCCCGAGAGGCGGGGCCTCGCTCGGGGGTCCAGGAAGAGTCACTGGGATGAGGTGGGACCTCATCAGAAAGCTGGGAGCCGTGCAATTGGTTCTTTCCATGTCAGGAGCCCGGGGTAACCAAAGCCCGGGGTGCCGCGGGCTCCATCCTGTTCCGTTTCACGTTAGCTGTTCAGGTGTGAATTATTCCGCCCCGGTCCCTTCTGGTCACAGTCGGTCGGCTCGGAACGTCTCTTCAACGGAGGGGTCGAGCAGGCCCATGCTGGAGTCACTGAGCATGTTGAGTCCGTCCAGGCTCAGGGGCTCGATCTGAAGCTCTTCTTCCAGCGGGAAGGCGGTGTCCATGTTCAGACTGACCTCGGGCATGCCCTCCAGCTCGCCGCCCAGGTCTCGGAACAGGCCAGAGCTTGCGTCTTCTGGAAGAAAGGGCAGGAGGGAACAACAGGGCAGATTAGGAGGTGTGCGAGCAACAAACTGATGACACCCCCAATCGGCCACCCTTGTCGTCATCTTCCCAGCCAGGAAAGATGTGATCGCTGGGTCCTAGCTACTTCCAGGCCTACAGTTTGTTCTGGAAGCTGGGTCCTTCCCAGTTAGTTGTGCAATGCCCTGCCTCCCCCTTTTTTTTAAGGTGGCTATTTAAAAAAAAAAAAAATAAAAAAAAAATATATATATATATATATATATATATATATATATATATATATATTATTGATTTTTTACAGAGAGGAAGGGAAAGGTAGAGAAAGTTAGAAACATCGATGAGAGAGAAACATCAATCAGCTGCCTCCTGCACACCCCCTACTGGGGATGTGCCCGCAACCAAGGTACATGCCCTTGACCGGAATCGAACCCGGGACCCTTGAGTCCGCAGGCCGATACTCTATCCACTGAGCCAAACCGGCCAGGGCAAAGGTGGCTACTCTTTATTTTTTTGTTTGTTGGTGTGTTTTTTTAATCCTCACTCGAGGATATTTTTCCATTGATTTTTAAGGAGAGTGAAAGGCAGAGGGAAAGACAGAGATATCAATGTGAGAGAAACACATCGATTGGTTGCCTCCTGCACGAGTCCCAACCAGGGTCCAGGCTGGGGAGAAGCCTGCCACCGAGGTCTGTGCCCTTGACCGGAATTGAATCCGGGACCCTTTGGTCCGCAGGCCGACGCTCTATCCACTGAGCCACACCGGCCAGGGCACACGACTCCCAGTTTTGCAGGCTTTCTCCATTTGGACAGTTGTCAATCACTGAAAACTAAGTATCTCGGAAAAGACTCACTGCCTCAGTCTCAGCTGGACACCTGCAACTCACACAGAAAAAGCCGGGACTTGGCCGTTTTGCTTTATCTAATGTTGTCATTTACACGACCTTGCAATGGCATCTGTCCCAACACAGCAAAACCACAGCTGCGAGGCAGCTGCGGGTGGCCCCACTCACCTGTCAGGAGGGTGTTGGGGAAATTCCCGCAGTTGGAATACACGTTTGGTCTCAAATGAAACGCATCCTGCGGCTCCTGGGGGCCGTGCTGCACCAGGGGGACCTGGAAGATCAAAGGTCACGATGTGAGGAATGACCCTCGAAGCTGAGGGGTGAGTAACGCAATGGCTCCCGGGGCAACAAGATGGGGGGGCCTCTCCGAGTCCCTTCCCTGTGGGGTCTGAGGGCCTGGCCGTCGTGACAGTGGCCATGCAGGCGAGGGCTGGTGTGGGGCAGGCCCCTGAGGCCCACAGTGGGGACCTGTCCCCATCCACACACAGCCTGGCCCTCTAAGCCAGTGTTTCCCAAAGTGTGGTCCACGGACCCCCAGGGGTACGGGAAGAGTCTGGTGGGGGTACTCGTTGCACCGGAGTTTGGTGGGGATATGCACTGCACCGTGCTTAGCTGCGCCTCATACTACATTCTCATGAGGACGAGGGGTCCTCAGCGTTACGAAAATTATAGAAGGGGGACACATATGTCAAACGTTTGGGAAACACTGCAAGCCATCCCAGGAGACACTACATTGTGGCTTCTGTGCCCTCTGGGCTCTGCCCCCTGCCCCTCTTGGTCACACTGAGCTCGGGGCAGCTGCCATCTGCGGGAGCCCCGTCAAGGCTCCCCAGGGAGCTGATGTGGCCAACAGGTTCCTTTCCTCTCTGGTTTCCAGAAAAAAAATGAGAAAACAGAAGCCCTTTCTTTTCACTCGGAGGGAGGAGCCCAGGTGAGGCCCTCGCTAAGAGAAAACCCGCTAAGAAGACAGGCCAGAACCGAGGTGCCTTCCCAGAAATTAAGTTTTCAAACTATTTTTATTTTTTATTTTTTTATTTTAATATATTTTGTTGATCTTTTACAGAGAGGAAGGGAGAGGGAAAGAGAGTTAGAAACATCAATGAGAGAGAATCATCGACCAGCTGCCTCCTGCACAGCCCCTACCGGGGATGTGCCCGCAACCAAGGTACATGCCCTTGACTGGAATCGAACCCGGGACCTTTCAGTCTGCAGGCCGACGCTCTATCCACTGAGCCAAAGCAGCTTCGGCTCAAACTAGTTTTAAAATCTCTTAAAAGTGGGCGTTTCCATCATTTCTCGGAGACACACTGACCATGAGATTAACACGGCTTCTCCAGGCAGCCTACGGGTTCTTGGCACGAGGCTTTCCCACACCTCCGCAGGAAACGTGTCTGTCTTTATGTCACTGTTGGTAAGTGCTGGAAAGTGCTCCTTCTGTCCTCACTCCAGCCCACACTTACTAAACAGTCTAAAACCTAGGGATATATCTGAAACCAGTTTGGCTCAGTGGATAGAGCGTCAGCCTGCAGACTGAAAGGTCTGGGTTTGATCCCAGTCAAGGGCATGTACCTTGGTTGCGGGCACATCCCCAGTGGGGAGTGTGCAGGAGGCAGCTGATCGACGTCTCTCTCTCATCGACGTTTCTAACTCTCTATCCCTCTCCCTTCCTCTCTGTAAAAAAATCAATAAAATATGTATTAAAAATCAACCCTCGGGATATTAAAAATGGTCAGTGTGCGCAGCGACATGGCTCAGCGTCGACCTATGAACCAGGAGATCACGCTTCGATTACCCATCAGGGCACATGCCCGGGTTGTGGGCTCGATCCCCAGTAGGGGGCGTACAGGAGGCAGCGGATCCATGATTCCCTCTCATCACTGATGCTTCTCCCTCTCACAAAAGGCATTGTTACGAACAGATTGCAAAGCAAAAGCAAATGGCCGACTGGAACTTTCCAGAGAAGGACTGTCCCCACCAAGCTCCCCTGGGAGGCCACCCAGACACTGCGCCGGCTCAGCAAGGTGGCCTCAGGCTAAGCCCCTCTCTGTGTCTCTGTCTCCACACGTGACGGGTCAGTGGCTGCTGTGGGCCCTGCAAGGATGAACGATGCTCCAGTTCCGACTAGAGAGCCACCACGAGTCTCCATTGCTATTCACAGTGCCTTTTCGGGGCTCGGGGAGATCCAAGCATGTCTGAATCTGAGACGGCACATGCCTCGTCCGCCTGGTGTGGGTCCCACACACCGAGCAGTTCGTTCTGAGAAGAGGCAGGCCCCCAGGCGATCACTCACCTGCTGGGTGAAAGCGGGGCCGGGCCGCATGGCCTGCTGCTGGTCAAAGCTCACATCCGGGAAGAAGCTGGTCAGAGACGAGCCCTTCGGGGAACGAGGAGGGGCATTTAGTTGGAAGCCAGGGCGGAATAACGAAATAAGCCTTCCCTCCGGCCCGGTGCCCCCAGGACTCACCTGGGCCGTGAGGAGCTGGAAGTCTGGCTGTGGCAGGGACGGGGCCGCCTGAGGCTGCTGAGCAGGGGGCTCCTGGGCGTGGGGCTGCTGCAGGAGAGGCTGGGGGAGCTCCTGGGGCCTGGGGTACGGGGGAGGCGGGGACACTTGAGCTTGAGCCTCTGTGGGCAGGAAGGAGAGCGGGCTCCCGTCAGAGGACACCATCTGAAAAACAAAGGCTCTGAGCAGCGGAGCTTCTGAGCGCCTGTCTGGTCCTTTAAGAGGAGGGGATGGCCCGGTGAGGGGAGACCCGAGACCTTCTCCAGGGCCTTCTGAGCTGGAGGAGAAGCTAGTTCTGCTCCTTCAAAGTGTACCTCACATCTTATCTCCCACAAAGCATTTCCCATTCAATGACCATGTACTCTATTTTGTAAAGCTACTAAAATTTTGTAAAGCTACTAAAAAATTTTTTTTTAAAAAAATATATATTTTTTATTTCAGAGAAGAAAGCAGAGGGAGATAGAGACATCAACAATGAGAAAGAATCACTGATCGGTTGACTCTTGCATGCCCCCCAATGGGGATAGAGCCCACAACCCGGGCATCTTCCCTGAACAGAAATCGAACCCTGACCTCCTGGTTCAAAGGTTGACACTCAACCATTGAGCAACACCAACTGAAGGATGTGTTTTTAGCTGTATTAAGAAGAGACCTACTCAATTCCAAGCATTTGGGATTGGATTAGTAATATATACGTAGAACCAAACTAACAAAGTAAGATATTTATTAAAACCAAGGAGGAAAAAAAATGGTACTTTGTTATGTCATGGTGTGCTGTATGGTAAACTCGGACTACGTTATTATAACTATGAAACTTTACACACTGCCCTTACTGGTGTGGCTCAGTGGATAGAGCATCAGCCTGTGGACTGAAGGGTCCCAGGTTTGATTCCAGTCAAGGGCATGTACCTTGGTTGCAGGCACATCCCCAGTAGGAGGTGTGCAGGAGGCAGCTGATCGATGTTTCTAACTCTCTATCCCTCTCTCTTCCTCTCTGTAAAAAAATCAATAAAATATATTTTAAAAAAAGAAGAAAAAAGCAATGTTACGCTCTGAGTATTGCTCTAATCAAAACCATAATAAACCACAATCTGGAGGAGGAGGAGGAGGAATGTGTGTGTCTGTGTGTGGGAGGACTGGGAGCACTGAAGGAGAACAAAGCACTAATCTTCCGTGATTGAATGTCACTAGATAACACGTAACACTAACACTGTACGGCAAAATTAGCTTGAAATAATGTGGTTACACCAAAGAGATGAGCTACAGTGATTGAAAGTGATCATCTCCAGGGATCGAGAACTATGGGGGGGGAGGGGGGAGAGGGAGAACTCTACCTTCAGAACGAGTCCCTTAGAACCATTTCACTTTTAAATTGTAAGCATGAACAACATTGATTAAAAAAAAAAAAACTAAATATAAAGCGAATTTAAAAATGGAAACATCTGAAAAAGAATGATGCTCTCTATCCATATAGTCTCCTTAAAATGTATGTAGGAAGCCTGAGTAAGATTTTTTAAAAATATATATTTTATTGATTTTTTTTTACAGAGAGAAAGGGAGAGGGATAGAGAGCTAGAAACATCGATGGGAGAGAACATCGATCAGCTGCCTCCTGCACACCCCCCACTGGGGATGGGCCCGCAACCAAGGTACATGCCCTTGACTGGAATCAAACCTGGGACCTTTCAGTCCTCAGGCCGACACTCTATCCACTGAGCCAAACCAGTTTCGGCCTGAGTAAGGTTTTTTTTTATAGCCTGTCGAATAGCTTTGCAAAATAAAATTAATAACCTAAAAAGAACCATTTAAAAACAATTAGGAAATGCCCTCTCCCCAAAGGGATTACTCATTTAATCAAGATCCTGTGCGTAGCTGGGAATTGGTGAAGAATGACTAATCACTGGATTGCCTATCCTTCCACTGTGTTCGGTCCACTCCCCTCGCTAAGTCATTACTCATTTTTGGAGAAGTGGTTAGTGAATGATGTTATAATGTATCTAGGGAGTGGCCAACAGGTCAAAAATATATTCAGTGATGATTCTGGTAAGGAGAACCACCTCAGAGCTTAGAATAAACAGTCAGCAAGTGAGAACATGAGGTTCTAGAACAGGTTCATGGTGACATGGTCCTTATTACACCTACTATTTCCTGAGCAATAAAAGTTTGGCTCAACGGATGGAGCCTCAGTCTGCGGACTGAAAGGTCCCAGGTTCGATTCCGGTCAAGGGCATGTACATTGGTTGCGGGCACATCCCCAGTGGGGGGTGTGCAGGAGGCAGCTGGTCGATGTCTCTCTCTCATCGATGTTTCTAGCTCTCTATCCCTCTCCCTTGCTCTCTGTTAAAAAGTCAATAAGATATATTAAAAAAAAAAAAGTCCTGTTTCTCAACTCTGCAGTCAGTTGGGGAGAGGTCTAATAGCAATGCTTTAGGGCAGTGGCCGGCAAAACTGTGGCTTGCAAACCACATGCGGCTCTTTGGCCCCTTGAGTGTACCTCCATAAGATTGAGGACGTTTTTAGCAAAGGCCAGCTTAGGAGTACCCTAATTAAGTTAATAACAAGGTACCTACCTATATAGTTTAAGTTTAAAAAATTTGGCTCTTGCCGAAACCGGTTTGGCTCAGTGGATGGAGCGTCAGCCTGCGGACTGAAAGGTCCCAGGTTCAATTCTGGTCAAGGGCATGTACCTGGGTTGCGGGCACATCCCCAGTGGGGGATGTGCAGGAAGCAACTGATCAGTGTTCTCTCTCATCGATGTTTCTAACTCCCTATCCCCCTCCCTTTCTCTTTGTAAAAAAAAAAAAAAAAATCAATAAAATATATATTTTTTAAAATTGGCTCTCAAAAGAAATTTCAATTATTGTACTATTGATATTTGGCTCTGTTGACTAATGAGTTTGCCGACCACTGCTTTAGGGAGATATTCAAGGTCTTCTTTGGCTTTTCTTTGTGGTTAAAGTATGTAGAGAGCTGCCTGGCCTGCATGGCTCAGTGGTTGAGCATTGACCTATGAACCAGGAGGTCACGGTTTGATTCCCGTTCAGGGCACATGTCTGGTTGTGGGCTTGATTCCTGGAGTGGGAGGTGCAGGAGGCAGCTGATCCATGATTCTCTCTCATCATTGATGTCTCCATCTCTCCCTCCCTCTCTCTTTCTCTCTGAAATCAATACAGATATTTAAAAAAATAAAGTACTGAGAGAGCCAACTATAACTGACTTGCCATGACTATTTCCCTACGCATGCCTGGGTTGGGTCCTCTATACCTTACCACTCTCTCCCAACCCTGACTTTGAGAGTTACAACGCCTGCAAACTGTTCAATGTTTGCTTAGCAATGATCAGCACAGGTCTGCTCTTGGGAAATCATTAATGCATTCTGTACTGATCAATGTCTGCACATAGGTGGCCACTGCCCACTATTAATTATTCCCATTTCGCTCCAATTCCACATAGAAGTGACCTCCTGGGCAGCCCTGGGTGTAACAGACTCAATCCAAAATCAGAGAGAGAAGGACAGCGATTCCCGTGTCTTCGGTCTGTTTGCCGAAGCGGTCCTTACCTGCGAGGCGGGGTAGGGGTTCATGGGGCTGGTGGAGGAGAGCTGCCTGCTGAACCCTTGATGTGCCTCGGGGCCAGGAGAGAGCGTGAGCGGGCTGACGGGCGGCTGCCTGCGCCGGGACGGGCCGCTCAGGGTGGTGGTGGGGAGGGACGGGTTGCTGAGGGAAAAGAGGCGCAGCGACGGGTGCAGGGCAGAGGCGCTGGGCGGTGTCTGCGGGGGGCAGTTCAGGGAGGAGGAGAGCGCCGTCTTGTTGAGCGTGGCCTGGATGGAGGGGTTGCTCCGGGAGCTCTGGAGACCTAGGAGAGAGCACATCCCAAGTTACTGGTCATAACTCCAGACCAAATCGCTCATTTCCCAAAGATTAAGGAAAACATCACTTCCTGCGATGTGATGAGGATTCTGTGTGTGGAGGAGCTCCTGGGAGACTCCAACTGGGCATGTGTCAGATGTGCCAGTGGCACAGAAGGTGCTACAAGGGAACGGTTTTCTTTTTTTCCCTTTAAAAAAAAAAAAAAAAAATATATATATATATATATATATATTATATATATATATATTATTGATTTTTTACAGAGAAAGGAGAAAGGGATAGAGAGTCAGAAACATCGATGAGAGAGAAACATCGACCAGCTGCCTCCTGCACGCCCCCTACCGGGGATGTGCCCGCAACCAAGGTACATGCCCTTGACCGGAATCGAACCTGGGACTCTTGAGTCCACAGGCCGACGCTCTATCCACTGAGCCAAACTGGTTTTGGTGGAATAGTTTTCTTGAGAAGATTATCATGTGACGGACAGAGGGTGAGGATAGGGGGCAGGTCTAGGTGAAAGTGGGCAGTGGCCACCAATGTGCAGTGTGCTCAGCTCCAGCCCAGGGAGAGGAGCCCGGGATGGACCACAAACTCTGTTCATTTTCTTTTATTTTCTTAATCCTCACCCAAGGACATTTCCCCACTGATTCTTAGAGAGAGTGGAAGAGAGAGGGAAAGACAGAGACATCAGTGTGAGAGAGACACATAAGTTGGTTGCCTCCTGCATGTGCCCGACCAGGGCAGGGGCCTGGAAGGATCCTGCAGCCGAGGTACCTGCCCTTGACTGGAACCGAACCTGGGACCTTTCAGTCCACAGGCCGATGCTCTATCCACTGAGCCATACCGGCGTGTTACTTAATAAGAGCCATTAACACGGTTCGGCCAGCACAGACTAGAGTGGACACTTATTTCTTGACTCTCGTCTTATTCTTCAAGTTCCCTGGATGCAGGGGCTGATGAAGACGATAGAGAGGGAGGCTAGCAGACACTGGGCCACCAGAGCAACATGGCAGCGGGCTCAGGAGCTACCAGAACAGAGATGTGCCCACTCCACGCTCCACTCACAGGCTGCCCGGCTGGCACCAGCCGAGAGAAAGCCCCCAGTGGTCACGGGCAGGGTCCCACGGGGCAGGGACACTTACCAGAAGAGCTTCTGATGCCCAGGTGAGTCATAGCAGCAGGAAGGTTGCCCACGCTGTTCCCCATGCTCATGCCGCCGAAGAGGGGGTTGCCGGTGTCCAGGGAGGCGGGCAGCGGCGCCGAGTAGTGGAGGTTGGTTAGGTCCGGCAGGGACCCCCCGGTGTTCAGGGTCCCCAGGAAGGGGGACAGGCCCATGTTGGGACTGTTGTGTGGAAAAGCGCTGAAAAAGGAAAGATAACTGTTACTTTCTAAAATCATCAGGCTTTGGGCAACGGGACATGTCTGATACTTTCCCTCGTCAAATAAAAGCAAAGATCCAGCCGAGACCGGTGTGGCTCAGTGGGTAGAGCATCGGTCTGCGAACTGAAAGGTCCCAGGTTTGATTCCGGTCAAGGGCATGTGCCTTGGTTGTGGGCACATCCCCAGTAGGGGGTGTGCATGAGGCAGCTGGTCGATGATTCTCTCTCATCGATGTTTCTAGCTATCTATTCCTCTCTCTTCCTCTCTGTGAAAAATCAATAAAATATATTTTAAAAAATAAATTATCTTTCTTACACACACACACACACACACACACTCTGTATCAACCAGATTCCTTCCAGGATATAGTTTTTCAATTACAATGTGGAGAATGGCTTAAGGGAACAGAAAGACAGCAGGGAGACCCAATGGGAAACTCTGGCTGCTTCAGGAAGAAGCAGGAGGAGATGAATTCGATGGAGGACACTCCGTTCAACACAACATGATCAGCAGAGCACGTCCCCGGTACCAGATACTGATAGCGGAGCCTCCAGAGACTTGGACAGAGCAGGGAGACAGGGCCCAAAGGGAAAGAAGTTGCTTAAAATAAATGAGCAAACAGATAAGTAAACAAACAGAAAACAACTTGCAATATCATACCGTTCATTAGCGCAGTGACAGGGCGTGGGGGAGGGGGGCCTGGAGAGGGGCTCCCTCGGGGCACCCAAGTTCAGTGTGAAGGCTAAAGAGTGAATTTATGCAGGAAAAGCGTCCCAGGCAAGTTCCCAGTATGAGCAAAGTAGAAAGGCGTGAAGCCCTACTGTGTGCCCAGGAATGCGGACACCGCAGGAAGGTCAAGTTGAAGAGGGGCGGGTGCTGATGGGAGACGGCCCTGTAGAAGCAGGTAGAGAGCATGTGAGGCTGACAGCTACACGCTGATGGCAAGAAGCCAGTGGAAGGCGGGAAGCAGGGAGAGACACGCACAGTCATCCCGAGGATGGTGTAGCTAACAGACGGGGGGGAGTGGAGGCTGGGGTGCAAGAGGCAGAGCCTGGAGACAGAGAGGCAAGTTATGACGCTCTGAACAGTCAAAAGCGGGGCCAGGCGCCCACTGTGTACAGCTGGCGGGTTCCTCGCCATGTCTGCATGCTTCTGCATCAAGTCGTGTGTCTACCAAGAGTCAGTTGTGTTATTCGCAAACATATGACAGTCTTGTTATTGCAGTTATGTAATATAACTACTTTTTAAAAAATAACATATTTTATTGATTTTTTATAGAGAGGAAGGGAGAGGGATAGAGAACTAGAAACATCGATAAGAGAGAATCATCCATCAGCTGCCTCTTGCACACCCCCTACTGGGGATGTGCCCACAACCAAGGTACATGCCCTTGACCGGAATCGAACCTGGGACCCTTCAGTCCGCAGGCCGATGCTCTATCCACTGAGCCACACCGGTTTGTGCTTTAACTGCTTTAAATAACTGAAATACTGAGTACCAAAGAGCTGTTGTTTTTATGAAAATTCCGTTGACTTGCAATGGACACGTAAAGAGGGACGTTTCGCAGAGTTCTGTGCCGAAGGTGCAAGACTTTCCTGTCGGGGTCACCCCGGGACAATCCCCCAGCCACGATCAGAAAGAGCATCACTCACCCGCCGCCGCCGACATCACAGGATCGAGGGCGCCCGGACAGCGACTGGACCTGGGGAGAAACAGAGCCGGGCTTACTCACTGAAGAGCCAAATCGAAGCTTCTAGACGTGTCTTGTAAGCATCTGTGAGTCCGTGCAAGTGAGAGGCAGTTAGCAGCACCTCACTCAGCGGCCCTTTAAGTGCTGACTAGACTTCTCCAGGCACAAGGGAGGCAGAACATTAAAATTTTCTTTCTTTTCTTTTAAAAAAAAAAAAAAATATATATATATTTTATTGATTTTTCACAGAGAGGAGGAGAGAGGGATAGAGTTAGAAACATCGATGAGAGAGAATCATCGATTAGCTGCCTCTTGCACACCCCCTACTGGGGATGTGCCCGCAACCACAGTACATGCCCTTGACCGGTATCGAACCTGGGACCCTTCAGTCCGCAAGCCGACGCCCCGCTGAGCCAAACCGGTCCTGGCAAAATTTTCTTACTTTGATGTTTTATTAATTTATCTTCTAGATGAATAGTATTTCCTTCAGAAAGGCCAATGTTTTTTTTGTTTTTGTTTTTTTAATATATTTTATTTATTTATTTTTTATTTATTTTTAAAAATATATATTTTATTGATTTTTTTACAGAGAGGAAGAAGGGAGAGAGACAGAGAGCTAGAAATGTCGATGAGAGAGAAACATCGATCAGCTGCCTCTTGCACACCCCCTGCCAGGGATGTGCCCGCAACCAATGTACATGCCTTTGACCGGAATCGAACCCGGGACCTTCCAGTCCGCAGGCCGACGCTCTACCACTGAGCCACACCGGTTTCGGCAGAAAGGCCAATGTTTTATGTAAGAGCTTATTATTATTTTTTGGTCTGTTACTCCTCACCGGAGGATATTTTTCCATTGATTTTTTTAAAGAGAGTAGAAGAGAGAAAGACAGAGAAACATCGATGTGAGAGAAACTCATGGGCTGGTCGCCTCCTGCATGAGCCTGACCAGGGCCTGGGCGGGCGAGGACCCTGCAGCCAAGGTACGTGCCCTTGACTGGAATGAAACCGGGACCCTTTGGTCCACAGGCTGACATTCTATCCACTGAGCCACACCGTCTAGGGCAAGGAGATGAATTTTAAATCATTTCTCTCCCTCCCCCCAATGATGAAACATCAAACGCACCTCGCTTTTACAAAAGACCTGTCAGACCCACACCACTGCTGAAGAGGACCATCGTGGACGTGGCAGGAGAAATGGAACCGGGCGAAGGAAGGCGAGGCAGGCAGAGGACAGACGAGCAATGGCCTCGATAAGGGCTGAGAGAACTGCTTTCTTTCACGGGCAGCTCAGCTTCCCTGAGGGCCTAGCTCAGTTCCGTGGGACCTCTCCCTCCTCCAGGGGGAGCACGGGGAAGGGGGGGCAGCTAGCACAAGTGGACACAAATACTCATGGAAATCATAAAATAGATGACTTGTTTGCCGACTCCCTGAGGACTCAGGTCAAGTGCCCTTGACTTAAAAAAGGGACATTTGGCGAAGCAGCAGTGGTAGACAGAAGCTGGTCGCTGGTAGAGGGTGTTGGCCACAAAACAGAAAAGTCTGCTTGTGACTTGTAACCAGCTTTCAGTGTGTTTAGTGATATAAATGAGATATGGAGGACTGCAGAAACCGGTGTGGCTCAGTGGATAGAGCATTGGACCTGTGGACTGAAGGGTCCCGGGTTCGATTCCGGTCAAGGGCATGTGCCTTGGTTGTGGGCACATCCCCAGTGGGGGGTGTGCAGGAGGCAGCTGATTGATGTTTCTCTCTCATCAATGTTTCTAACTCTCTATCCCTCTCCCTTCCTCTCTGTAAAAAAATCAATAAAATATATATATTTTTAAAAAAAGATATGGGGGATTAATAGTTTGGTGTGTTTTTAAATGAGTCAATTCACATGCAAATTAGGAAGCCAAGAGATCACTGTACTAACTTACCAACAAAATATTATCATTCTTACTTGAACCATCATTCCCTAGTGGGTTCTTCCTATCTCTGTCCCCAGAGAAATTACCTTCTTTCTTCCCATTTCCTCATTTTCCCTCTGCAGGATGTACAGGGAATGCTGGAGAGCGAACACCCCGTGACAACAAGCACAGTGCGAGCTGCTCACCCACCTCCTTGGTCTCCCACAGCTGCTTCGGCAGTGGCTTGGGAACGTTCAACAGATTCTCTTCTTTCAACGAACCCGGGAAAGACATCGCTGAAGTGGGGAAAGCACATTCACTGCGTTAGATGGCAGCCAACCCGACACCGGCCAAAGAAATCATCTTTGAGAGAAACACAGGTGGCTGCTCAAACTGTACATGCGCTCCACTTGGGACTGTCATGTCATGACTGTCTGTCTGAGACCCACCCACACAGGAGACCCAGGGGTAACAAACCCCGTAAAGAAGTCACTTAAAACAGGGACCAGCCCATTCGGTGTGGCTCAGTGATTGAGCATTGACCTATGAACCAGCAGGTCACGGTTTGATTCCTGGTCAGGGCACATGCCTGGGCTGTGGGCTGGATCCCCAGTAGAAGGCATGCAGGAGGCAGCTAATTAATGATTCTCTCTCATCACTGATGTTTCTTTCTTTCTCTCTCTCTCTCTCTCTCTCTCTCTCTCTCTCTCTCTCTCTCTCTCTCTCTCTCTCTCCCCCCTTTCCTCTCTGAAAGAAATACATTTAAAATATATATATATCTTATTGATTTTTCTAGAGAGGAAGGTAGAGGGATAGACAGTTAGAAACATCAATGAGAGAGAAACATCAATCAGCAACCTCTAGGTACAGGGGAAGATGCTCAACCAACTGAGCCACACTGGCCAGGGCGACCGAGTCATTAATGTTTTCATGTGATGACAACCTTTGCTTCCCTGCACACCCCTGTGACTGGGATGATGGGGAACCAGATGACGCAATCTCACCACACGCTTCCGTTCTTGTGGCCTTGGCCACGGGTAGCCCTAAGGTAATAGAGCGTCTCAGACAACCAGCCTGATCTGCAGTTGTCAGCACTGTGGGAAGTTCTGAAGCAGGAGCATCAATTAGCTCCCATGTTGAAAGGAGGTCACATGAACTGCCGTCGGCGTCCCGCCCAGCCCAGTGGCCAGGCCAATCCGTACCTTCCCCGAGTCCATTGTTCTCACCGTCGCAGAAACCTGGCGGGAAAGAAAACAGATACGTTTATTATTATTTTTTTAAATATATATTTTATTGATTTTTTTACAGAGAGGAAGGGAGAGGGATAGAGAGTTAGAAACATGGATGAGAGAGAAATATCCATCAGCTGCCTCCTGCACACCCCCTACTGGGGATGTGCCCGCAACCAAGGTACATGCCCTTGACAGCAATCAAACCTGGGACCTTTCAGTCCGCAGGCTGATGCTCTATCCACTGAGCCAAACCGGCCAGGGCAAAACAGATGCATTTATATGGTGCTTTCCTTTTCCTTTTTGTCATGCATTTGTTGCTCTTTGTGATCTTTGAAATTGAATTTTAAAAATTCTATCCATTTTGGTACACTGATGGAGGTCCAGCTAAGATACATTGGCCTTTCTGCAAAAATTAAGACAGATATGATTCATTTAAGCCTAAAGTTGCTTCCTATCTACTTTTCTTCTCCTTTCAAATTATCTCACTCTTAAACTGTTCTGAGAGAACAATTTTCAAAAACCTGAGAACCTCGCCTTAACCAGTTTGCTCAGTGGATAGAGCATCAGCCTGCGGACTCAAGGGTTCCAGGTTTGATTCTGTTCACGGGCATGTACCTTGGTTGCTGGCAAATACATACCCAGTAGGGAGTGTGCAGGAGGCAGCTGATCAATGTTTCTAACTCTTTGTCCCTCTCCCTTTCTCTCTGTAAAGAAATCAATAAAATATATATTTTTTAAGAACCCGAGAACCTCTATTCAGCTTACAAAATAAAGTAAGGATCTAAACCTCTTCCAAATGCATCGCCTGCTAGGAAGGGCGGGTAACTGCTTCACCCTGGCCACACGGGCCTAGTGGAGCAACTGTATTTCTTGCAAAGAGTCAAGTTACCTAAGAAAATCATTTATCTCAAGTCTCAGTCAACTTAAAAAGCGTATGGGATAGCTATTCACAGAAACTTAAAAATCTGACTTTGAATACATTCTAAGCAAATAAAGTATTTTTTTTAAACATTTGGGTTCTTTTTAAAGAGATATGTTTGTTTGTTTTTTAAAGAAAGAGAAAGGGAGAGGGAGAGAGAGAGAGAAAGATCAATGAGAGACTATCGACTGGCTGCCTCCTGCACGCCTACCACTGGCGATCGAGCCCACAACCCAGGCATGTGTCCTGACTGGGAATTAAATCGGCAACCTCTTGGTACACAGGTCAATGCTCAACCAGTGAGCCACACCGGCTGGGCTGAAGAAAGTATTTTTAATCCATAAAATACACTGCTCATGACAAGTACAGTATATCCAATTGCTCTAGGCTAAAACAAAGACGTGTGCCAAAAAGGGAAGGTTATACCAATGGCTAATCACTGCCACCTAACTGTCATGACAATAACCATCATGATAATGACCACACGTGTATCAGAAGAATGGCACTGTTTGCTTGGGACACTAACCGCTCATTACTGTATCCAAGTTTATAATCATGGAGTGACTGGATGTTCCTATTTCATTACTCATAACAACAAGGAGTGGGAACACTAATCGAAGCGACATCATTATGCTCAGGAAGGTCCCGGGGGCAGAGCAGTTAACATTGCTTCTGCTACGAAGCCCGACTCTGGACTCCAATTACATTTTCCCATCACTTGCTTAATCTTTATTTGGTTGCTCCTATAATAAGAAATACCTTTTTGCAAAGCGAGTCGATATTTTTAATGTCCGAGAGGAAAAGAAAATGAAAAACTTTTAATGAATTACAGGGGGAAAATGCATGAAACGATTTAAAATAGCTCCCACCAGCAAATAGAATTCTCCAGAAATAATTCCCCTCCTTGGAGACTTGGCTAATATTTTAAACACACTGGCTTTCCCATGTAAACACGTCCATATTTGGATGTGTTTCTGACTTCTGCGATACTTGCAGGGGCGGCCCGCCCTCTGGGCTGTCAGCTACGCGGCCCCACAACGTTTAACCGCTGAGGTGACGGGGAGCGCCCCCCGATTCTCAAGTCACCTCAGAAAGCCTGCTCTGGGATGTCTCTCTCTCTGCTCTTCCTGTCTGCCGGGATCAACACTCATTTGGGCCGAAACCAGTTTGGCTCAGTGGATAGAGCGTCAGCCTGCGGACTGAAGGGTCCCGGGTTCGATTCCGGTCAAGGGCATGTACCTTGGTTTGTGGGCACATCCCCGGTAGGGGGTGTGCAAGAGGCAGCTGATCGATGTTTCTCTCTCATTGATATTTCTAACTTTCTATCCCTCACCCTTCCTCTCTGTAAAAAAATCAATAAAAATATATTTAAAAAAAACAAACCTAAAAAAAATCCCATTCATTTGGCTTCTCGTCGTCCTCCCACTGCCCGAAACTTCCTACCTCGTCCCTCTGAAGCTACATCACTCTGGGCCTAAACACTTCCCTCCATCGGCACTTTCTTTCATTATTTTCTTTTCTCCTTGCGCGCAGCCTCAAAAGGCCCTGCTTCATTTACCTATGATTTCCTGTGCTTTCTAGGCCGTCAGCCCTTTCTGGAGTCAACTCTGTCGGAAGGAATGGCAGAGGCAGAGATCAGCTCTGCATTCGGGGTCCAGGTACAAACCCCTGGGTCTGGCTCCCTCCCATCCAGGGAGACTAAGATCCTGCCGCAGGCACAGGGCCCCCCACCAACTGGCTCTGCTTCTGCTGGGCTTTGTTTATATCTTCCCATCTCTGCCCATCCTGAGCTAACCTCCCCGCCTCCCCGGTACTCGCTTCTCTAACCCACACCCAAGTCCGACATGACTGCCGACTTTCCTCTCCTGTCCCCGAGGCTGGAAACTCGGCTGGATGGCCTTCCCGATCCTAAAAGACCCTACGCTTCACAAGCAACAACGGTTTGATCACCTCTGACTGCACGAAGGAACAGTTAGTACGAAGTCCTGTCCTACTGTGTGCAAAAAAGGCCAGCCACGTTCTCCTCAGAAGGAACAGACCATTAAGGCTTTACATTGTCTAAAGAGTGAAGAACCCAGCAAAGCTTGGCTGAAGATTGATGCGCCTGTTTCAAGACCAAACACACAGTCGTTCTTGTTTGTGGACAAGGGTGGATCTGGAGCACAGACTGGCCTGTGGGATGGGTGATCAGAGCCACTGTTCCGACTAGGTTATAAGCCCCGAGAGGAGGGCCGGGCTGTGTCTCAGCGAGCCAGCCTGCGGCAGGTGCAGGCTGAGGCGAGCGAGTGCTCTGCACACGTGGCCACGGCAGTGTCTCTGCTCTCCGGGCTCCTCTGCCAGGCCCGGTGCGGGGGGTGAGACCATTCAGATGCCAGGAAACCGACTCTGAACACAGGAGTGACAGGTCCCGAGAGAGCTACCTGCACGCAGGAGCTCTGGGATGTTAGAAGACACGGATAGTCCTGGCAAAGAGAGGAAGGCCAAGGACGGCCCCCTCGGAAATGATGACAAAGTGGAGGGTGTTGATCGGGTAGATCAGGAGTGAGTGATGGGAGGAAGAGACGAGAACAGAATAAAACATTAGCGGAGCCCAATGTGGTCCTCACGGCTGACTTGGGGAGTGAGGAGAGAAGTGGGGGGAGGGGAAGAGAAGGTCTTGGGAGCTCCTGTCATTCCAGCTGAAACTGGAACTCTCCCAGAGGACTGTACGCAGGAGACAGTGATCAGATGTGAGTTCGCTCTGGAAGCAGATGGCAGGAAAAGGCTTTCCCACGCCTGTCGCTCCGGCTCTCTCCTCCGCTTCACTCACTCTGGCCAGAGGCAGAACGATGGTCTACCTGGCAAAATGGGCAACAACTGGGCAGGCGATGCCCAGCCCCAGTGCAGTCCCACTCCCCCTCAGGGCCCTCTCTGCTCGGCCTGCCCTTCAGCCTGACCTCACCCCCCCATGGCACTCGGCCTGGGCCAGCGCTGCTGGGCAGTGGGTTCAGTCACGATGGGCATGGAGCCAGAGAGAATCCGCGCCCACTTCTCACTGATAAAGACATCTAGCTTCCCCTGCCACTTTTGATTTGATTTCTCAGCTTGCTCAGATCCTAGGTGGGAAAAGAGGACCTTCAGATAAATCACGTAAAGCTGGATGAGAAGCATATAGGCCGGAAGTGAAGAGACCGGGTAGAAAGCTATGAGGAATCCACATGAAAAAGTCAGTGGGAGGGGAAGAAAGGAAACGGAAACGGGGAGAGGGGAGCCCGCGAGAGGGCGGAGATGCTGAGGGGGAGAACCTGCCATGGAAGAGGCTGCCACCAAGCGTGTGACCGCTCCTTCTCGGGAGGCCACCGGGCTGGGGGGGCACGCGCCAGGCAAGATGCCCGGGACAGGCAGAAGCAGAGCCGCTGCGGGCAGGGCCGTGTGTCTTACCCATGTATGCGGCCGGCCAGGCCGACTGGCCCCCTCCTCCATAGGGGTCCTGGGGCTTGGTGCTTAGAGCACTCGTGTGAAGAGCAGAATCAGAATTGGTCCTGAGGGGGGAGGAGAGAGGGCGGCTGAAAATCCGTTTTTCCTTCGTGACAATGCAGTCGTCTTTGCTGAACGTTACCCGCGGGAGAGGAGGCGAGGAGGATGCTTTTCGATGGCCCACACAATGAGGGATGGGGACCTACCTGAAGTCCCTTACGCCAGACACAGTCACTGAAGGTCGCCCACACCCACATGACTGCCATTTGGGCTCACACAGCTTTACACCGTGAGGCCGCTGGCACAGCTTACTGAGCTGTTTCAATAAGGCCCGGGAAATGGGTCAGTAAGGCCTGGGATGCGGGGCGTCGGCTCTCAGACCCTTTTGGGGCCAGTACATGTCAAGGGCCTTGCAGTTCATGCTAGAATGACCTTTGCCCCTCCGCTGGTCCTGGTGAGCACCGTGCAGAGTGACAGAAGCAGTGTGACATGTGAAGTCACTGCCGACTAGACGCATTGGCAGAGGACCCAACTTCGGAAAAGGGATTCGTGGAAGAGAACAATGCCACGCTTCGCCGAAACCGGTTTGGCTCAGTGGTAGAGCGTCGGTCTGCGGACTGAAGGGTCCCAGGTTCGATTCCAGTCGGGGGCATGTACCTTGGTTGCGGGCACATCCCCAGTAGGGGGTGTGCAGGAGGCAGCTGGTCGATGTTTCTCTCTCATCGATGTTTCTAGCTCTCTCTCTCTCTCCTTTCCTCTCTGTAAAAAATCAATAAAAATATATATATTTTTAAAAAAATGCCACACTTCTCAATACACTTTTCTGTTTTGGAAAATGGCATTTTGTTTCTTAAAGAACTATTTATGTTAACATGCGATGGGTTTGTTATTTTTACTTGGCTGTTTTCAAATTCATGAGTAAGTAACATTTAAACATCTCTCAATTTAATTTTTAATATCACTAGACAAATCCCCATAGATACTCCGACACAAACAGACACTCTAAGGCAGTGGTCGGCAAACAGCAGCTCTCGAGCCACATGCGGCTCTTTGGCCCCTTGAGTGTGGCTCTTCCATAAAACACCACGGCCTGGGCGAGTCTATTTAGAAGAAGTGGCGTTAGAAGAAGTTTACGTTTAAAAAATCTGGCTCTTCAAAGACATGGCTATCGTTGTCCTGTTGGTATTTGGCTCTGTGGACTAATGAGTTTGCCGGCCACTGCTCTAGGGTCCCCGTGGCTTCTGAGGTGGTAAAGAACAAAAAACTCAGGAACTGCTAATCTAGAGCTTATTTCTGGAATTCCCCAAACAGCTCCAACTTCTAAACAGCCTCGATTCCAAGAGGTGATGGTTGTGACATGCAGGTCAAGCTGTCATAAAGAGGACCCGTGGGCTTCCCATCAGCCTAAAACGTGTCTTTGTGGCCTGTTCCGGTGATGCCTCTTGGCCCCACTGCCCGTGGCTGTGTGTCCAGACCAGGGAGAGGCAGTCGGAGCTAGCATGTTACAACAGAAAGAGCATGGGCCTGGGTTCAGATCCAGCTCCTTTTGAGTCACAGAGACTCAATAGAGAGCATCAGATGCAGAGAGACCACTGGGAGATGTTGTGTTTGTCTCTTTTGAGGATCTAATTGGCTTTATTAAATGATTCATCCATCGGGCAGTATTCATGAATCGGGCCCCCTGAAAAAATTTGACTACAGGCTGGTATTAATGATATTAATGAGTTACTGTTCATTTGTGAAGTGCAATGATGAAACTGCGGTTACGTTTTGTTTGTTGTAAAAGGTTCTTACCAGCCTTATACTGTTAGATATATTTATAGTAAAAGATTATATCTAGCCAGCCATGGGATGGGATGGGGGTTAGAGAAGAAATGGCAGAATGCTCAGGAAGATGAGCATGAGGGACTTCATATAACTCTTTTCTGTTTTGCGTATGTTTAAAATTTTGCACGATAAAAAGTTTTGTTTTTTTTTAAAAAAACCAGGATTTCATTACGCATTAGCTAAGTGGCCTTGGGCAAATCATTAATCTCTTAGAACAGAAAACAACACACAAAACCTCGTCCTTATAGGACGTTATCAGGATTGACTACATAACATTCACCCCCAAGGGTCCTAACAATAGCTAACGCTTATTGAACGCATACCATTCCCATGTATTCTTTTATTTAATCGTCATAACCGCCCCTTAATGCAAATACTATTATCTCCCTTTTCCAAATGAGAAAACCGAGGCCAGAATCAAACAACTTGTTCAAGGTCACATAGAAAGAGGCAAACCTTGTAGTCCAAGCATGTCAAACTCACCGGCTGAGGGCCACATGCCTTGTTTATTTGGCCCGTGTGAGACTTTTGAGTTTGACATGCTTGCTGTAGTCTCATCCCAGACCTCATGTTTTTAACTGTATTAGTCTGTCCTCGGTGGACATTCAATAAATGGTGAGGGGTTTGAGGTCTGTTTTCTTAACACTTCATATAAACACAACTAGTTATGGACAGACTCTGGCAACCAGGCACTATATAAAGATCATCAGGGCAATCAATGGATTGGTTTCTTTCCAAGTTATTTCTATTAGAAAGCAATGCGTGTACCTGTTCAGCGCAGATGTCAGCCTGAAGCCAGGATGCTTTTCTTCCTTCCAAGGACGCTGCTGCCTTTAAAAACCAGAAAGAGATAAAAAGAAAAGAAGTTCAATCCACAAGAAGCAAAGCAGAGACTCAGACCTGGGTCTGAGAAGTGACGTTTCCACTCGCCTGGCTGTGCAACATGAGGAAATCCCTTCAAAATGCTCGTGCTACTCATCACGATGAAAATGAGGTCAGGCTGAAACCGGTTTGGCTCAGTGGTAGAGCGTCGGTCTGCGGACTGAAAGGTCCCGGGTTTGATTCCGGTCAAGGGCATGTACCTTGGTTGCGGGGTGTGCAAGAGGCAACTGGTCGATGTTTCTAGCTCTCTATCTCACTCCCTTCCTCTCTGTAAAAAATCAATAAAATATATTTAAAAAAAGAAAAAGAAAAAAGAAAATGAGGTCAGACTGAACGATCTCTCTGGTTTCTAGGCTTTCTGATTTCTATGATAAAACTGTCCCAGCCGAAACCGGTTTGGCTCAGTGGTAGAGCGTCGGCCTGCGGACTGAAAGGTCCCGGGTTCGATTCCGGTCAAGGGCATGTACATTGGCTGCGGGCACATCCCCGATGGGGGATGTGCAGGAGGCGGCTGGTCGATGTTTCTCTCTCATCGACGTTTCTGGCTCTCTATCTCTCTCCCTTCCTCTCTGTAAAAAATCAATAAAATATATATTTAAAAAAAAAAAACAAAAAAAAACTGTCCCAAATCTGTGAGAATGGGACTAGCTAGCTGGGCAGAGAGAGTTTAAAAAGGTGTGGGGCAGCCCTAGCCCGTTTGTCTCAGTGTTGACCTGTGGACTGAAAGGTCCCGGGTTTGATTCCGGCCAAGGGCACATGCCCGGGAATGCGAGCTTGATCCCCACTGGGGGGCGTGCAGTAGGCAGCCAATCAATGATTCTCTCTCATCATTTATGTTTCTACCTCTCCCTCTCCCTTCCTCTCTGAAATCATTAAATATATTTAAAAAATAAATAAATAAAAAAGTGTGGGGCAAACAAACACCTTTGAAACCTTTTTAAAATATATATATATATTTTATTGATTTCTCACAGAGAGAAAGAGAGAGGGATAGAGAGTTAAAAACATCAATGAGAGAGAATCATTGATCAGCTGCCTCCTGCACACTCCCTACTGGGGATGTGCCCGCAACCAAGGTACATGCCCTTGCCCAGAATCCAACCCGGGACCCTTCAGTCCTCAGGCCGACGCTCTGTCCATTGAGCCAAACCGGTCCTGGCTGAAACCTTTTTAAATGTATTTTTATTGCTTGAATTTCATGCACTCGGCCTCTAGCATAAGAATAATAAGTCACGCCGAAACCGGTTTGGCTCAGTGGTGGAGCGTCAGTCTGCGGACTGAAGGGTCCCAGGTTCAATTCCAGTCAAGGGCATGTACATTGGTTGGGGGCACATCCCCGGTAGGGGGTGTGTAGGAGGCAGCTGGTCGATGTTTCTCTCTCATCGACGTTTCTGGCTCTCTATCCCTCTCCCTTCCTCTCTGTAAAAAATTAATAAAATATATTTTAAAAAAAAGAATAATAAGTCAGAGTATTCTATTGGCAAATATATTCCAAATGTTTCTATTTGGTTTTAAAAGTGAAGATCTAGCTATATTTAAATAGCTTTTCATTTTAGACTTTCATACTTAAGTTCCATAAGAGCAAACAAGATCCTGTTTTATATTAGAAATTTCTAGAATAGTATTCAAGGCAGATAAAATACTGTGAAAGTTTCTAAAATGAACCCATGCCCATCTTATCTTTAAAATAGGGTTTGGCCGAAACCGGTGTGGCTCAGCAGATGGAGTCGGTCTACGGACTGAAGGGTCCCAGGTTCGATTCCAGTCAAGGGCTTGTACCTTGGTTGCGGGCACATCCCTAGTAGGGGGCGTGCAGGAGGCAGCTGATCGATGATTCTCTCTCATCGATGTTTCTAACTCTACCTCTCCCTTCCTCTCTGTAAAAAAAGCAATAAAATATTTTAAAAAAATAATAAAATAAAAATAGGATTTGCTTACCTTGGCCAACTCTCATCCAGGGGCTGCGAGGAGTAATTGGCTCCGAAAGTGCTACCATCAAAGTAGAATGTTTAATTAAGGAAAAATAAACTTAATGAAAAGGTGGGGCAGAAGCGAGGAGGGGAATTATGGGGAGTTACACTGCGGAGGTTGAGGCTCTTATCTTGCCCTCTCCACCCACCAGCTCTTCCTCGGGGTGCGCTTATCACTTCCCCTGGCGCGTCCACACCTCGCCAGGGCCGTCTTCGTGTGATTCACGTGGGCGTTTCTCATTTTGTTTGTCTGCAGGAGCTCGTTTTTAAAAACTCCCTCCGTCCACCC